AAATACTCTGCTTGAAGTAAAATCCAACCAGCCTATAGTGACTTTTCATGCAGAGCCACGAGGAGCGCCAGATCGGTTTGTTATGCGGCGTTCAAACAAAAACGAGATTAACGTGGAACAAATTTACCTGCTGCAGCACTGCTGCTCTTCTGGGAACATCTACTGAAGGCATATGCAACTCATCTACAAAGTACTCATTAGCCCAGAGACTCTGATACCAAAGGGAATGAATGAAACACAGATGTAACGACAAAAACGCTGACTTCCTCACCAGCAATTCACGAGAATGTCCGGAACAGCCAAGATGATGGAACAGGTGTGACAACCTTTATGAAAGTGGAAAATCAGCTGTTTTAATCGAATGTCGAAACCAATCTAGCAAAGCGAGCAAAAACATCCCAGTGAAGCTGATGTCTTTATGCCACGTACATATGTACATTTCTTTCCCTTTTGCTTAGTTGTGTTGTTCTTCTGCTACTTTCATATCACTAGGTACATGCCCTGCCTTTCTGGTATACTTAAACAAATGAACCACCTTACTAAACAAAGTACGGGAATGATAAAAGTTAAGAGGCACTTGAAGAACTACTGCTATGCAACCTGTGGAAAGAGAGGTCCCAACGGAACAAGCAAGATAATTTAATGAGGAATAAATTACGTCTTCAAAAGACTGGGAAAATGTGACTAAGTTATAAACAACCTGCATTATCTGTTTCGCTCGTCTAGAACTTTTGTGTAGGTAATGTGATATGTTTTTGATGATGGCCTCTTACAAAAGGTAAGCAAAACAACGTATAGTGATAAAACTCACCTTTAAGACCAGCATTAAGTGTATCCTCCAGTAGCAGTGAGTTCATAACGCTAAGTACAGAAAGGCGGAAGGTAACTTACAGGCGTTGAAACAAATAACGATGCATAATTGCAGGATAATCGAAAGAAAACCACAACAGGCAAGGATGTCATAGGATAATATAGCATCAACGTATCGATAAGGAAGTAAGGCAAAAATACAGCTGCAGGCTAGGAGGGAGTAACCGTGTCATTCACTGGTAAATGAATGAAAATTGCAACTGTGCGCGCAATCAGCTCGAAGTACAACCTGCATAATCTCATTTCCCGACTCAAACCCGATGTGCAAGGGTACCTAAGGAACAATCACGTGTAACAGACGGGCGAAGAAGCGGTCTGATGCACATGACGATATCTGTCTCACAGGCAGACTCATTTTCAGGGCTGGACTCTGATGATGCTGCGGTTTATGCAGTGAAACGCGGTGGCGTTAAACTATTTACCATCTGCTCATGAATTACTCAAACAACCAGTATATGACAATGGGCCCAGAATCAGAAACCTGAAGAAGAAATTACAGATAAATGTAAAACTGTGCAGCCAGAAATGAATTACATTTAGTATCATCTGTCCTGAAGCACCTACAATGCAACACTAGACAGTTGTTTACCTGCTACCTCATGTCTACAGGTGGAAACGAGAGTATCGCTTATGCAAATTATACGGTTAGCATATATTGTCAAATTACTGTTTCGAGAACACATCGACATATAATCCGGACAACTGGCTGTATACAGTAAAATTCGGTTAAACCGCGCCTCAGGAAGCTGACGATTCGAATCCACCAAGGGTCTAAGCGTGTCTACCAAAACGATACCATTTCATTTTCTTTCATAAACAAATTTGTTTCAAATTTTACTACGATGCGCGTATAGGCGGCAATGTGCTCCCTAAGCGATCGCACTGCACAACTCAACATTTGCTCAAGATTGGCGGCGATCGAGTGCCATCTATGCTGCTTCACATATCCTATTAAGGTCACTCGAAAGAATGAAAAGGTACGAAGGCCAAAGATTTCTAAAATATCCTAATACGTAGGGTATTATGCATTTAAATCAGAACATGATAACAGCGTCATAGTATTCTGATACGAAATTGCAATTATTTTCCACAAAATTTCCAACAATACCGCGAAAATCCTGTGAGGCAGATGCCCGTCTTCAAAAACCCTTCTTATAACAAAATTCAAATGTACATGTGATTTCCCTTGATACGATAAGCATTAAAGCAGCATCCGATTTCTTCCAACAGGCTAGTGAACCCTTTTAAGTGGGTAACAGAAGCCAGGTAACAGTGCAATTATAGCGAGCGAATCCAGAGTAACGACAAATGACTATTCTTTCAGACTATTCTTTCTAAACATTCAGGGGAAATTTTCTTTATACATAAAGCTAAGGATCGAATTACAGTACCTCTTGTTTGAAAATGTTTTCTACAACACAACACAGAGATGCGCATTCGCAACCATCCACTTAAGGCAATACTATGGAGCACGGCCTGTTCAAAAAGTCCCATAATCCGAAAGAATCAACTGACTGGCCTGATCATGAAGAGTAAATCCAATAAGCAATATAATGTGTTAAGCTAATCAGAGAAATGAAAAAATATGTTGTTTTCTATTACACCTAGAATACCGTGAGTAAATTTATTCTTAGCTAGACAGTACAACTTAATTTCATCCATAAGTGCAATTTACTGAAAAGTCGAAGCGGAAACCGCATGTACAACCTTGGCATGGGCAGAACACCACATCGCCATGTCTCATATCATCCCTATATCAACTATTCGCAACTATTACATTGATTAATCATCATCTGACCTGATTAATTAACTTTGTAGAGGAAGCGCACCTCAATGGCTTTTGATACTCGTTGTCCTCTTCGTCCTCCAATAACCAGCCAAATCCTTTCCGTTGTAGGTACCTTGCAGCGAATCCACCACCGCCGACACTGTAGTCGTTTTGCCACTTGCTGAACGCTTCCGGACTATCCATATTCGGAGCCATGTTTCCGGAAAGCTCTATGCTGTGTTGGTTTGTGTTCATGAAAAGGTTATTGAAAGTAAGACAAATTT